CTCTTGTAAATCAGGTTCTACCTGCTTTTGTGAACGGGGTTTTCTTTAGGGGGCAACTTGCTTACTGTGCCTGGGTGTTTAGTACGCACGGGGCCTGTGCAGCCACGGTGCCAGTGGCCATGCTTCGGCCACCGCAGGGTTTGAGTCTGAGCGTCGAATACTTCGCAATCGGTTTATTTATTTATTTATTTATTTATTTATCACTCTAATATTTATCACTCTAATATTTTATTGATTGATTTTTAGAGAGAGACATTGATTTGTTGTTCCACTTATTTATGCGAAACATTGATTTGCTGTTCCACTTGCTTATGCATTTATTGGTGATTCTTTTTTTTTTTTTTCAAATATATTTCACTGATTTTTCACAGAGAGGAAGGGAGAGAGACAGAGAGCCAGAAACATCGACGAGAGAGAAACACCGACCAGCTGCCTCCCGCACATCTCCCACTGGGGATGCGCCCGCAACCCCTGACCGGAATCGAACCCGGGACCCTTCAGTCCGCAGGCCGACGCTCCATCCACTGAGCCAAACCGGCTTCGGCTATTGGTGATTCTTGTATGTGCCCTGATTGGGGATTGAACCCACAACCTTCCTTGGTGTATAGGGGTGACGCTCTAGCCAACTGAGCTACCCAGCCAGGGCCATCCAATAAACTCCTCTTCGCTCTAAACATGAGGAAGACATAGCTTTTCCAACTCAGTTTTTATTACTGTTGATAAAGTCATTATTGTTAAAATAGTAAATTTCTAAAAGTTTAATTACTGTAGTACTTTTCCCTATATTTCAGATAGTTGATAAATAATAAATCCTAGTACACACACACACACACACACACACTCCAGAATCCCCTGGGTAGTGGGGTGCACCTGGGTGACATCACACCTGTTGGTGCTGGGCCACAGCTTAATCGACCCTTGTGCTCCTCAGGCTGATGGAGGCGATGTCTTTTCCCTAGTTTCAGCTCACCTGGCACATCTCCTCAGTCTGCTCCCGGCACCATCCTTAAAGGGCTCGTCCTGTGATGAGGATAGGATACGTTAGGCTTTTAACTAGCTCACTCCCAAATTCCCCTTCGTCTAAATGCTGCTGATCTGATGGGCTAATATTCCTTTTCATGAATAAATCCAAGCTTATGTAAGGGTGTGCATTAAAACTCCAAATACCGATGTGAGCAATTGACCCTACAACTAAGCAGGGCCTAATAAAGATTTGGCTTCCCTACACAGAGCTGAGGAGCCACAAAACAAACTGTTACCGACTAAAATGTCGATCAAAGCTCCCCTGTGTACTTTGGGAGGAGCCTAATGAGGCCCACATTAAACCACCAGTGGTGAGTGGTATTCTTGTTCAACATTTAAAAAATGTGTCCTCTGGAAAGTGAGAGCATGCGTATGTCTCAGTTTTCCCTGGAGGGACATCTCCGTGGCCCGGGGGGGAGGTGGGTAAAACAATGACAGGTGGGACTCACCTGGGGTTGGTCTTCAGTGTCAGCCACAGGTGCGTGCTGCCTGAGAACCACTCTGAGGGACCGTGTTCCCTGAAGTGAGGTCCGTTTCTCAGCCTAAGGCACAGCTGAGCTCAGAGACGTGTGCGCCCCTTTTGCATCTTGCTGTAAACCCAGTGTGTGAGGACATTGTCCAGCCGCCATTTCCCTGTCCACAGAGCTGAGCATCGTGCTGACAAACGAGTATCTGAACGACATATCATTAGAAAGACCGACTCCAGAAGGAAGCCACACTTATGACCAAGAGTGAGTTTTAATTTTGTGGGGACAGTTTTGTTCTGTTTTTGTTGTAAATTTTAAAATGTCACAGTGAAGTGTTCTCAGTTTTTCAGGTTTGTCTTCAGAAAACTGGCTAAAGACCCACGGCTTGGTTGCCAGGAAACTCACCATCATGGACGCCTTGTCGGCGACAGCCGTCCCGCACAGCCCCACCTACATTCCCATCCTGGGCAAGCACGTGACTTCCAAGGTCTTTGATGAGGTGAACTGATTGTCTGTGTCTCTGCTCGACATAGTTTTCATTTCGTGCTTAAATGAAAAGCCGTCCACTTGAATGTCTTGTACAGTTGTAACCAAAGTGCATTTTACCCACTGAAAAGGAGTTCTTTATAAAGGCGGTGAGAAGCATGTTTGCTGTCAGCTAAGAAGGAACTGGCCTTTGTTAGTTGGCAGTTCAGGGTTCTCTGCTTGTGAGAGACAAGGTTCTTCTGTTGCTCACCTTCTCTTCCTGAGTGCATCGTCAAAGTCTCCAAAGAAAAAAGAGAGAAAGAAGGAGGGAGGGGGGAGGGAGGGAGACAGAGAGACAGATGGATGGAGAGTTAGCTAGAACAAAAGAGCCCTAAGAGAGTGATGAGTGACGGTCATACATGTCCCAGAAAGAGAGAAAGAACTAAGAGCTTCCAATAAGAGGGTGTTCGGTAGGGTTACATGTGGAGGAAGCCAAATAAGTGTGAAGAGTTCCCACTGACTTGTGTGATGAGAAGGTCCTTGCCCTTAGCAAGAACAGACCCAGTGGAGCAGCCAGAGTGCACAGGGATGGGGAACACAAAAGACAAGAGAACATAAGGCTTGAATTCCAGAGCTTCAATGAAACAGCAACTAATGATTTAAATAGGAACATGTCAGGCCTTACAATCACTAAATGAAAAGAATATCCTTAAAACCTTATCTCACACTGAAATATTTACAGAGAAATGGAAGGGGTTTGGGATTAGCTTCAAAATAATCTGTATGGTGGGAACAGTGGGGGGAGGCGAGGAGTAGGTAAAGCAACATTGGCCATGAGTAGATAATTGTTATATTTGGATTATAAGACTATTGAATGGGCAGGGGGAGAGGGGGGCTCATTCTACTGTTCTGTCTTCTTTTTTACATATTTGAAATTTTCCATAATAAAAAGTTGAAAAAGAAATCAAAGGCAGGAAACTTCTTTTAAAAAGAGCTTTATCTAATTGTCCTTGCAATAGCTGAGATCTGGTGTATTTGGAAGAAGTGGGTGAATTGGGGAGGTTTTCTATTAGTCACATGTAAGGAATTATGCCCATGGGCTTCCACATCAGCCTGGTTGGCGTGACCAGTGGCTCTTGCTCCGGAGGTTGTGTGTGTGCTCACTTAGGCTGGGTTCCTGATGACTTTGCTTAAGGTGAGTGGTCCTGGCCCTGTCAGCTTGTGACGGGCAGATTCTATTTACACCCGCAGTGAACGCTACCTGATCAGTCGGATATCAGCTTATCACGTGAAGCTTTCTTCTAGCAACTTTGGTGACAGCTTCTCATGTGCTGTGGATTTATTTTATTAAATTATTGAGTTTTATTTGGAGTAGAGGATATTTAGTGAACTCCCCCTGGGAATAGAGTTTTCTTATGCTTATCTTGTCTCCTTTTAACCCTCGCAATAAGCTTTGATACGTCAAAAGTAAGTTTCTCTAAAAACAAACATGAAAGGGTAGGAAAACATGAGAATAAAATAAAAGAAAAAACCATGAAGGGCATATTTATGGATTGAATAAATAAAAATGTTATTTTGTATAAAACTATATAAATAAAATTAAGGCAGATCTCAGAAAAATATTGAATAAATAAAAATGTTATTTTGTATAAAACTATATAAATAAAAAGTTCTAGTTCTTGTGAGCTCTGGGAAGTGTAGATCAAAGATACAGTTTCATGTCAGAGAAATGCTCCGACGTGGCCTGGGAGCTCAGACCTGGGCATTTGCTCAGCCCGAGTCTGGGCCGGGGGAAAGGAGTTATGAAGGTGCAGAGGTGAGGAGCAGGGTCCTAGGCCAAGGGGAGCACACAGGGAAGTCTGAGGGTCAGAGAAAGGTCTCACTCCAGAGGAAGCTTAGTGTGGCTGCAGGAAGGTGCTAGAGCCGGGACGGAAGGTCTTGACTGAGTTAAGGACGCTGAATGTCATTCTGAGGGGATCTGAAGGCTCTTTACAGAGGGGAGAAAAGATCAAGTTTGGGCTCTGACTGCTATCTGGACAAGAGTTGGAGGGGTCCGAGGCCGGGAAGGTGAGGGGCAGTGAGGAGGCAAGGTCAAGGTGGCTGTGACCCAGGTGGTAACACTGGGGACAGGACCAAACCACATGGAGCTGAGAGAGAGAAATGCCAAGAGTGAAATTTAAGAAGGAAAAGTTGGGAGGAAGAGTAGTGAAGGCCCTGGTCCTCAGGGGAACATTCGAGTCTTCTGACGCTAGAAAGCAAAGCCACGGAGAGAGGACAAGCTCCTCAAGTGCATCCTCCAGGGGACTTGGCTTGTGCTCTTTGTGGCACTGTACGTCCTCATCACAAACCCGGGGCCGGTAACACACTGCCCAGCGTGCTTCCTGTCCTTCATTATTGATAGTAAGAGCCAGAATCATGATGATGATGGAAATGTACTGTAATGAGTTCCAAGTTCACCCTTAACGCACACTTACATCTCCTATTCCTTAATATTTCCTCTGATGTTAAGAGACCCTGGCTGTCAATGGGAAAACAGGAAGACTATAATCTAAAATTATTCCCACTTAGTGGGATGTATAGCTTTTTGAGACTTGGACATAACATTTTATGAAAAAGTAGACAAAAACTAGAATGGGGCTGAAAAGAGAACATGAATCCTAACCCACTGCATTGAGAATTTTAATTGACTCTTACCCCTGTGCTCTGTGCACGGCCACATCCATCTGGGTGGAACTGTAAAGCAATGCTGGGCTTTGTCCCCCACTCTTGGTTTCATTCATGACTTATGTGTGGGCTCCTTCTTCTTCTGGAACACAGTGCTGTTTTGGTTTTCAGTGTTTCCTGGACCAGCATCAAATCTGTCACCTTGGAGATAAAATATTGAGCAGACAGGTTGCCCTAGCAACTCTCCATTTCAAAATGCTAACTGGCAGTTTAAGTTTCCAATGGACCAGATAATTTTATCTTACCTCTTTCAAAAAGAATCATTCATTGTCAAGCCATATACAGAATAAAACTGTTTTAGTTATTTGTTGAATCTAGAATTTGAAGCTCTTTATTGCCAATTGCTTTGAAAATAATAAAACCAAAATAATTTGGAAACATTAGTCTGCATCATTGGAAAGTCTAAATCTTCATCGTCATCATCATAATGTCTTTAACAGCAGCCCATCAAGCCTTCTTGCTTTGCCCTAGTCTGGGTCCAGCAGAGAGCTTTGTGGTCAGAGAGCCCTGGCTGGCACCCCAGCTCATTTACTCTTGGTGGCCATGGCAGGTCTCTGATCTAGTATTAGAGGAGTCCTCACACTAGGTTCTGAGTGAAACACTTGATATCATCAAAGTAGTTCATTTAAAACTCAGAGAGCAGCCTAGCGAGGTGGCCAGTCCTCACAACATGTAGCTGATGAAGAATGTTAGGAGCAAAGAGGTTGGGGATATGCTGTGACAGACCTGGCATTCTGTTATTCAAATATAGTAGCATTCAACAGAACTTTCTATTGATAGAAAAGCTTCTTTAATTACAAATTCAAAAGCACAGTTATTGCAAAAGCTATATATATATTCATTGTGTAAAAAATTAGAAAATATAAATGAAAAAGAACCAATAATTAAAATTCCCTGCAGGTGAATCATTGGTGTAAATCCTTTTCACTGTGTGTAAATCCTTTGTTTTTTGTTTTTGTTTTACCAAAATGAAGTCAAACTAAATATACTGTTTTGTACCCTCATTTTTACTCGTCTATTGTGAACGTTGTTCCAGGCCAACAAATGTGTATCTCCTATACCATTTTATTCATTTATTTTTACATTAAAATTAAAATAGAAAACCCCAACCTTTTATATTCTAAAAGCTTAGATTAAAAAGTGTAAGATGTGCCTGGTCAAGTGGCTAGTTGGTTGGAGCACCATGCCGTATAGCAAAAGGTTTTGAGTTCGATCCCTGGTCAGGATGAAGTGTATGGGAGACAACCAATCGATCCACGTTTCTTTCTCACATCCATGTTTCTCTCTCTCTCTCTCTCTCTCTCTCTCTCTCTCTCTCTCTCTCCTCATATTCCTCTCTCTAAGAATAATTAAACATATCTTTTGGTAAAGATAAGAAAAAGTAAGATGTCATCTATACTGTAATCTACAGTGAAGTAAATAGCATATTTTCAGGGGTTTTTGAATGGTCTTATTGGCTTTGCCAGTTAATTTTGTGGCCCTGCCTTCATTCTGCTCTTTGGAGGCTGGAGGTATTGCAGTTCAAAAGCACACACCTAGGCTTCAGCACTCGACAGTTTGTGCAACCGAAATTTTATTTGTACGCAGAGTTACCCACCCAGGATATGCACAGCTCTTGCATTTTCATTGCACATATCCAGTCAGACCTTTCTTGGCCAAGCTGGCAGCAAGGTGTGGATACTTATTGGAAGAGCTGATTTTATTGAAAAAAAAAAAAGTAGTTGGTGAATTCAGTCAGGGTTGAACAATAAATATTTAAATATCAGTTTCATGCTATTTTCTCATTTCAAAAGGGGGATTATGGGATTGCTTATAAACACAGGATGTTGTCAGGTAAAATTCTGTCTGCAGTACTTTAGCAACTAATAGCTGTGTGCACAGTTCTGCATTCTGCTTTTTGTTGTTGTTGTTAATCCTCACCCAAGGATATTTTTCCACTGATTTTTAGGCAGAGTGAAAGGAGGGAGGGAAGGAGAGGAAGAGAGAGAGAGAGAGAGAGAGAGAGAGAGAGAGAGAGAGAGAGGCACATCGATTGATTACCTTCCCTACTCACCCCAACCAAGGCCAGGGATTGAACCTGCAACCCAGGTACATGCCCTTGACTGGCAATTGTACCCACAACCCTTCAGTGTGCGGGCCAATTGTATAACCACTGAGCAACACCAGCCAGGGCTGTATTCTGCTTTCTTTATTTAGCATATGTTATGAATGTATTTCCTTGTAATGACCATTTTTGGGTGATTTTAATGGTTGCACTAATATTTAATAATATGAGTTACTACAATTTATTTAACTATTACCCGAATTATTGGGCAGTTTACTTGGAATTTTAAGAATGCCTCTTTTCCTATATCTCTGCTGTCATGTAGAACACTAACATTTAAGAACTTTGCCAATTGCTATATGAAATGGTATTTCATGTTATTTTCTATTCTTTTATTGTTCAAGAATAGTTTTCTTATGTAAGCTAAATACCTTTCTTAAAACCTTGCTCACCTATACTTAGCAAACACCTCTTTAAAAATAGCAAACTTACACTCATCTCTTACCTCAGTTACCAAGGCTTCAAATTTGGTGGGATCCAAACTTAATTATGTTTTACAATATAGATGAACTTTAAAATTTTTGAGCCTTGGCCATTCTTTTAATTGATACATAATTTTAGTCTTTCATATGTTCAACAAATGGTTAGTACTAGAAACTAGCATGTTTACAAGGAATAAAGAAGGACAGAGTTTAGTGGAGAGGCAGGCCCTGTAACAGGATCTGCATGTATGAATATATTGATACAGGGCTTGGGTGAGGAAATAGGCAGAGTGCCTAGCGCTTGGCAGAGAGTAAAGAATAAACTATTATCATTATTGATAAAGCTATTCTCAAGTACCGTGGCTCCTTTAGGGTATCTCTGGTCCAACAGTGGGAAAAGTTCTAACAGAATCAGCCCAGATCGGCTATCCATGAGTTCTAGAAATTTCTTCCGCCTTTATGGTCAATGTCTGTCTCCCTCCTTCACTTCCTCCCTCTAGTTAAAATCTCCTCAGACGAGGTGTGATTATTAATATCCATGTGGTGAGGTTTATAGATTAACCTCAGAGAATTGAGTAGGCTATACCTTGAGGCTCCCTTTTGTTATCAGATATTGTCTAGAAGGGTCTCTCATCAGTTGGTTATATTTATTTGCATTAGAAGAGGTGAGAAGTGCACCATTTCAAAGGAGGTGTGGGCAGGGTTTATTCCCTCCCAAGCAGAGCTGCCAGGCTCTTCACTGACCGCCTCCCCTCCCCGTGGCTTCCTGGCAGCAGCTGGCGGCCACCAGCTGACCTCCCAGCCCCTGTGACCTCATAGTCACAGTAAATTTGACATCATAAAGAGAATATCCCATGGGACCTTCACGTGACCACCATGTTGTGAAAACTAAGACCACAGATTGAAGGTGTGGAGTATGACTTTGTCTTTCCTTCAGTCTGCATGTGCACAAGCCAGATCCGCACAACCCTGAGCTGTTTCCACACCGAAGCACACTATGGCCATGCCCGGCATGCGGTCCAAGTCCACAAAAGAGGGAAGTAGCACCTGACCTGCCGGCTTTCTTCAGCGTGTGAGGGGAGGGGCCACGCTGATCATGGTGAATGGGATGGTGTTGCTACGCATTTTGTGGTGATTTGTGACTAAGCCATATCAGTTGGCAAACTTGGAGGGCTAGTCAGAGACTTGTAATGGTTTTTTATCCCCAGAGGTGATAGAAATGTAAGGGTCTTTTGTTGGGAATGTCTCCCGCCTCCACCACCCCCCCCCCCGCCCCCCTGGGGAATTTATGTGATATGTAGCTCTATTTTGAAAGATTTTTTTTCTCTAAGTTTCATTTAGTTCCCAAAGGCCAGTCGACCCACTGTTCTGGCTCCTGCCTTTGACAGAGATTGTTAGAAGCCACACGCTGAATTCATGTGTCTGACAAGTAGCGAGGCTTGACTATGCGGCCTCTTAACTTTATGATTTTCTCATCAGTTTTCTGAATTTTTGCCTATTTTCTTGTTGGTTTTGGTCTTGATGTTTTAACAAGATTAATATATTTAGTTTTCAATTTCAATACTGTTTTTTCCAAGAGAGATTTCTTTTATTATTTAAAATATTGTTGTTTTTCCCATTCATTTGTTCTTATGGTACTCTGTATGTTTTTGTACTTTTATATGACTTTTACATTTTTGAACAATCTAATAATTCATTTAAATCATAATTAATATAAAGTCATTGTTAGATGGCTCATAAGTTAGTTTCTTTAGTGAATTGACATTCTGATGACTTGCTCAGCTATCAGTTGTGGGGTGTGTGTGTGTGTGTGTGTGCATTTTGGAATTAGTATGCTGGCTCATTTTAACAAGCGTTTTTAATCTGTTTTTTACTCTTTCTCCTCCTGTTTTGCACTTGCCTCAGTCCATCCCTTGAGCCTCCTCATTGGCGTTCAGCCCTCTAGCTCCATGGTGACACTGGAATATAGAACCAGAGGCGGGGTTAGAGATTCAGTGCCCTCTCTCCTAGCCTGGCCTTCTTTCCGGGGGTGGGGGATCCTGAGACCAGGGCTGGCTTCAGGCACTGAGCCCGCTGAGGCCCTGTCCTTCACGGAGCACTCACCCTCCACCCGCTGGCTGTGCGGGAGCCCACTGCCCCGCCTCTCTAGGGGGAGCCAGCAAGCCCGCAGCTTCAGCCCTGCTCATCTGCTCACAGCTCTGTCCAACTTCATCTCTAGAAAAATGTCCACCCTGCCTTCTCCTTTCTATGTATTTTATTTTAAATGATAACAACAACAATATGATTTTTGTGTAATTTTGGAGGCAAGGGGCGGGGGGGACATAAAAGCATGATCTATGTTGTCTTGATTGATTGAAAGTAAAAATTGCTCTTTACAAACAATTCCCCACATTTCCAAGACGCCTATATGCTCCTTGTGGTTGGAAGCAGATACAATTTGGAAACAATATTGCTTAATATTCTCCTGTTAGTTTCTTTTTCTTTTTTGTTTAAATATTAAGATATGGAATATGCCTTTTTGTGAACATATGTTTATCGATCAATAAATATTTGTTGCGGGCACACCATGTGCCAGGCACTGTGCGAGGTGATAGGAATACAGTCGTGACTAATCCCAGCCCCTGCTCTGGGGGAGCTTACACTCCGGGAAGAGCTGAGTGTGTCATGTGCAGGTACGGAGGTGCAGGCGGAGGCATCCAGCCCGGAAGGCAGCGGCAGGTGCAGACAGCCCAGAGCGGAGCCTGGGGCTCTGGGCTCTCGCAGAACGCAGTTCCATCTGACATGTATGAGAACCTCTTATACCCTGGCTGGTTTGGCTCAGTGGATAGAGCATCAGCCTGTGGACTGAAGGGTCTCAGGTTCGATTCTGGTCAGGGCACATGCCCGGGTTGAGGGCTCGATCCCCAGTGTGGGGTGTGCAGGAGGCAGCCAATCAATGATTCTCTCTCATCATTGATGTTTCTCTCTCTCCCTCTCCCTTCCTCTCTGAAATCAATAAAAAAAAGAACCTCTTATAAACCGATAAGGAAAGTGGTCAAAAGATGTTAACTATCATCAGATATTCTAAAAAGAAAATTAAATTAAATATATGAAAAAGTTGTATAACCCGAATAGTAATTTACCCTTAGCAACAATGAGATCCTGTTTCTTACGGTGCATTGATGGACAGAGTTCATGAAGCCAACACTGGTTCTGATGACAGTTCCCCAAACAGTTTTGTCTTCTTTTTATGTGGCGGTGATTTTATAAAGATATGGTTTTTGGAAGAAAAGAGGTTAGCAACGATATCTCTGATTTTTTTCTTAACGACTTTCTATATGTTATAATTTGCTACAATTATATTGACCTTAGAGTCAGGAAAACATGCTGTGTAGCAGGTGGCGCCACCTTTGAAAGAACATGTCAGCCTCTCCAATGACGCTTTCCTGTGCATTGCTGTGTAGGTGTTCCCTCTGGCACACGTGTGCAATGACACAAACAAGATGACATTAATTAACCCCCAAGGAGTCAAGCTCAACGTCTACAAGCAAAAGGTGGAGCAGGCAATTAAGTCCTACGAAAAGTGAGTGTTCCTCCGCTCCCAAGCAGGGCCCTGGGATTTGTTTGTTTTGGCTTGTTTTCTCCTGTTTTAGCTTAGATTTCTCATCTGGAGCAGCTGTTTAAAACTCGCCTGCAAGGAATAGCCAATTCAGCAGGAGCCGCAGCCAACACAGACACCCCCCTGTGCGGCACTGCGTTAAATACCTCACCCCAACATGCCAACAGTTTCAAACCCTCTTCCCTTTCCCAAGGGAGGGGGACATAAAAGCATGAGCTATATTGTCTTGATTGATTGAAAGTAAAAATTACGTTTTACAAACAATTCCCCACATTTCCAAGACGCCTATACGCCCCTTGTGGTTTGAAGCAGATACAATTTTGAAACGACAGTATTCTCCTGTTAGACTTTCTTTTTCTTTTTTGTTTAAGTATTAAGATATGCAATATGCCTTTTTGCGAACATATATTTATGCCTCTTCCGCCCAGTGGTCCTCTCCCTCCTCCTCAGTGAGGCCTCGCCAGTGACTCCATCCCTGCTCAGGCCCGGCGCTCCCGGCGGCAGGGCCCGGACAAACTGCCTTCCCCTGGGCCTCTTCCTCCTAACGGATGTCACTCTATATATTTGACTATTGGAATTTTTTAATTTGATCTAATTCAAGTTAAGTCATTAAAATTCTTCAAATTCAGCTATTCAAAATGTAATATGATATTATTCCTATTATTTAATTTCCTTGAATCATTCCAATACCTGCCTTCTCCGAGTGCCTGCTCTGGGAGAGCCTGGGGCGGCCGAGGGTGGGGAGGGAGGCAGGCGATTCCGGGGTTCACTCGCGGCTCGGACATGGACGTGGCGAGTCCTGACAGCGGCTCCCCTCTCATCCCCTGTATCTGCTGACCCTGAAGAACCGTAAGTAGATGAGTTTCATTGTTATGCAGCCCTGATTCCTCTGAGAACCAAAGTGCGGTCAGTGACTCGCCCGTTCCTCCCTTCCCGTGAGTGAGTCTGGAAAGCCTTCTAGTACCTTTAGAGAAACAGTATATACACTGTTATTATTAGTAATGACATGAATTTTAATGACTAATTTTAATGTTGACTACATTTGTATTAGTGTTATTAATTTGATGTTTATATTAAATGAATTGTTTATTTAACATTATTGTTTAATAATATTAATTTTTTCCAACTTTTAAATGTATTTTTTATTGGTGATAGTATTACAGATCTCTCCCATTTTTCCCCTTCCCCCTCTCCTGCCAACCCCTACCCAGTCCCCAGGCCTTCACTACCCTATGCCCGTGTCCATGGTCTGTGCGTAAAAGTATATAAGTCCTTTGGTTTATCTCTTCTCATCCCCCCCTCCCCACATCGAGGTAGGTCAGTCTGTTCCATGCCTCCATGCTTCGGGTCTTATTTTGTTGGTCAATTCATTGTGTTCATTAGATTCCACAAATAAGTGAGATTATGTGATACTTGTCTTTCTCCATTTGGTTTATTTCACTTAACATAATAGTCTCCAGGTCTATCCATGCTGTCCCCAAGGGTAAGAGATCCCTCTTTTCTGCCGTTGCACAGTATTCCATAGTGTAAATGTCCCACAGCTTTTTTATCCTTTACTATTATACAGAATATGACATCACTGTTACACAGGATAAACTTCCTGATTGTTTGCATTCAATAGTATTTAAGAATTTTGTTGGTATGAGTGTCAATACCCTTTTCTACCTTGCTCCACCTTCCTACAGACATGCCTAATATGCAAAGTAATGAGACAGTTACTCCCACCCCATCCGCAATATAATATTTCTAAGGTGTTTCCCACTGCAGGTAAGCCAGACGTCACCTGTACGGTTGGGGATAAGCAGGCACATGGGAGGCTCACAGCCCTTCGGCCAATATGGTGGCACAAACTAGCTGTTCTGGTCACACTGAGTGCCTGTGTGCGGGAGCACTTCTGTTGCAGTATTTTAAGAATGGAAGCAGCAATGTTGGCTTTGTATCTGAGTACTGGCTCTGCATGGAGATTGCCAGGACCAGCTAGATTCTGGGGTGATTATTCTGCCGTTTTTTTTGTGTTTTTTTTTTTGAGTCTAAGGTCAAGGTTGCAGCCCTCAGATCATGGGAGAAGCGCCAGTTGTAAGCTGGCCCGGGGACCATGTTAGTAACCTCTACTTACTGATCGGCTGCCGCCTAGACTTCTGAAATGTCGTTAGGACAGGTTACTTTGCAAATGAGCCACTCTTGTTATAAGTGGTTTGTGGAGCAGAGAGATGGAAAGTGAGTGAAAGTCACTCCCCAGGCGGATTTCACTCTTCCCATCCAACGGAAGAGGAAAACTGCGCAGTAGCATCCCTGAGTCCAGCGCAGAGATGCCCTGTGTCCAGTGCCCTCGGGCATCCCATGGGGACCACCCGCATCCCATAGGGACCACCTGCATCCCATAGGGACCACCCGCATCCCATAGGGACCACCCGCATCCCATAGGGACCACCCGAATCCCATGGGGACCACCCGCATCCCATAGGGACCACCCGAATCCCATGGGGACCACCCGCATCCCATAGGGACCACCCGCATCCCATAGGGACCACCTGCATCCCATAGGGACCACCCGCATCCCATAGGGACCACCCGAATCCCATAGGGACCACCCGAATCCCATGGGGACCACCCGCATCCCATGGGGACCACCCGCATCCCACATGCGAAGGGACTTTCCAGGGTCTCCGTCCCCTCCCGTCCGTGGAGCGGGGATCCACACTCTCAGTTGTCCTCAGCTCACACCCACCCACTTTTCGGCCGTGTGCTTTACACTATTTAGTGAAGATGGACAATAGGGGAATAACAGAGGTGATGGAAATGTGCTCTTGGAAACAGTTTTTCTAAAGGATGGAATTAAAATTAGACGTGCTGAGTAATTGGACTCACAGTCACTAAACCAATGGTTTCTCAGCCTGCCAAGCGTGGTCACCCCTCTCCAGAGCCTGGAGGCCATGAGCCCGGGGTTATTCCTGGTCGCAGGCAGGCGTGGGCAAAAGTAAGAGCACGGGACCATGTGACAACCTTCTGAGTGAACGAAGCTACTGTAATAACACAGCCTGCATGTCCTTCTCCATTTCCAACAACTGTGACCTACTTTTGCCCACCCCTGGACATCCATCCCAGTTCTCTCAGCGCCAGGTGGGTGCTGTGATCCTTGTTTCATCGATAAGAAAATAGTTTCAAAGAGTCACATCACACAGGCCCACACAGCAGCCAGTGGAGACCTGAGATTTGAACCGGAACCCGTGTAGCTCTGAGCCCTGGTCCACACGCCCAGCCTCCCTAGTACATTGCCTCCGCTGTCAAGGTTTAGATTTAGGAGAATTTTTAAATAAGTTTTTTTTTTCTAGAAAAGTGTGCATGCACACACACACACACACACACACACACACCCAAAATGCATCCTATGAATCGTTTTTTTGTTGTCTAAAGTTTCACATATGTCTCTTTTTCTCTGATTGACACCCCCGCCCCCGCAACACAGCCATTCCCACCCCCAAGGGCAAGCCCCCACCGCCCCAGTGTCTGTGTCCATTGGTCATGCTAACATGCATGCATACAAGTCCTTTGGTTGACCTATGAATCATTTTGAAGTCTCAGAAGCCCTGATCATTGTTGCATAAACCACATGGTTAAAGAAACCCAATTTTCAAATAGACCCCAAAGAACCAACACCTTCAAGTGAGACAGGAGCACCGAGCTGGCTTACTTCCTACTCCCTGACTCTGTCGCTTCCCGAGGATCTACGCGTGTCAGACACGCGCGCCCCTGCTGAGTCCTCGCAGTAACACGGGGAGGGCACTGTCAGTGTCCCCGTTCCACAGAACAGCCTCTCCCCAAGTCCAGGACGAGAAGCTGCCTGACTCTGGCCTGTGCACCCCACGCCAGCGCGCTTTCTGTGCCAGGGGAGCAGGGCAGGATAAACCCCCAAGTTTGTTCTCAGAGCCCTGGTGGCTGATGCTGGGCCAGGGGTTAGAAGAACGCCTCGCGGAGAGTGACCGTGTTCTCCCCCCTCATTGACTGAAGCAGCTCTTTCACGGATGGCCGCTCACACCTGGGCCAGTGCTCTGCCCTGCACTGCAGGAGCCTGGTGGGTAGCGACGTAGGGTCAGCACAGGCCTGGCAGGAGCCCTGCAAGAAGCATCGCTGGTTAGTGATGAGAAGGAGCTCCGCCCACCTACAGAAACCATCAGGCTCCAACCTCCCCTTCTTCTTGGGTTGACAAGCACCTCTGCAGACTGCTCAGTGATGAGGTTTAGTCTCAGCATCGCCAACTAGCGGTGGGGGCGAGCAAGGCCCTCATCAGTCCGCCTCCCGGAGGCTTCGTTTGGAAAGTGAGGTCTCCAGTGTGACGCACTCCTGTGCTGGGTGACCCTGGCAACGTCCTTTGCTCAGAGAATCCAGGCAGAAGAAAGTCCAAAGAAGCAAATTAACGCCATACTTACATGTTTACTTTGGAAGAACAGCAGTGTGTCTTCATGCAGAGATCACGAGGCCCAGCTTGTTGCTGCCTCTGACAGAGCTGGGAGCTGCCCGCCTTTGCTACAGGGCTCCTGAGTGGCCTGGGGGAGGAGCTGCGCCAGTGGGGATGGAAGCTGGCCTGCGCTCTCCCTGCACTGCCCTTCAGAACCTGGGCTCAGCCTTTTGCTATGAAACGAGGTGTTGGTACTAATTGTTTTCAATTTTTTTTTTTAAACAGGCGCTTGAATAAAATTGTCTGGCGAGCATTATCTCAAGAGGAAAAAGAAAAGTAAGCCAGTTCCTCACTTTAAAAAAATTTTTTGTGTCATTTACATAACCTACAACTAACTTTTTTAAAGTGAACAATTCAATAGTATTTAAATTATTCAAAATGTTGTACAAACCACTGCCTCCCTCTAGTTTCAAAACTGTTCTATCGCCTCAGAAAAATTCCTTGTACCCATTAAGTAATCCTTCCCCTCCCCCTCTCTCCCTCTACCTCTAAACTTGCCTATTCTGGATATACCATATGAAAGAAATCATACATTGTGTGACTTTCTGTGTCTGGCTTCCTTTACTTCGTTAATGTAAAAACTTAACATTTTCAAGGTTCATCCAAGTTGTAGCATAGACAGTGCTATATTCCTGCTTATTGCAGAGTAGTGATCCATTGTGTGTATCTACCAGCTTGCTTACCCGCTGATGGGTTGTTTCCACTGTGAACAATGCTGCGATGTACATTCACGCAGAAGCCTCGGTGTGGACATGGGTTTGCATTTCTCTCGAGTGCGTAACGAAGAGTGGTTTGCTGGGTCACAGGCAATTCTATGTTTAACTTTTGAGGAACCACCAAATTGTTTGCCACAGCAACTGCACCATTTTACATCCCCACCAGCAAGATGTGCGGGTTCTTGTTCTTCCACAATCCTTGCTTACTTTCCTTCTTTTCTCTAAACTGAAGCCATCCCAATGGGTGTGAAGTGATATCTCACTATAGTTTCCATTTCCACTTCCTTAAGGTCCAGTAATGTTGAGCATCTTTCATATGGCCATATGCGCATCTTCAGCGAAATATCTATTCAAGTCCTTCAGCCATTTTTAAACTGAGTTGTTTGTCCTCTTGTTGTTGAGTTGGAAGAGTTCTGGATGTTCAGCCTTTATCAGGTCAATATTTTAACATTCCTGATCATTTCCCTTTTCTCCCCAGAAGTTTTTAATGTTTACGATATTGATCTATCTACTTTTTCTTATACTTGTGGTGTCAAACCTAAGAATTCAATCCATTGCCAAATATAAGGTCATGAACATTTACCCCTATAATCTCTTCTAATACTTCTCTGGCTTTAGCTCTTACACCGAGGTCACTGATCAATTCTGAGTGAATTTTTATTATATGGAGTGAGGTTGTCTCTATCTGAAATAGAGATAGTTTTACTTCTTTCCAATTTGTAGGCCTTATGTTTTCCTTCTTGTCTAGTTATCTGGATTCCACTCCCTGCACATGGTTGAATGAATGCCAGTGGTGAAGGGGGCGTCTTGTCTTGTTCCTGATCACAGGGGAATGCTTTCAATCTCTCACCACTGGGTGGGGTGTTGCGAGTTTTTCATAAATGCCCTTTATCATATAAGGAAGTTCCCTTCTACTCCTAGTTTGCTCATTGTGTTGTATCGCAAATCAGCGAGCTGGACAAGACACCTAATGAGCCAATTAGTTAGGAGTCATCTTTATTGCACGCAGGTTCAGAGCAGATAACCTCTGTCAAATTCTGAACCCCACATACAGGAAGTCTCCCATATTTATACTTTTCGAGCCTCTTTGTTTGCAGATACTACAAAGGGCTCTGTGTGAATTATTGTTACAGACAGTTGTAACCTTGAATGCACTTGGCATAAGAATATGGGAATTATCTATTACATTGGATGGCTAGCTTGCAAGGTCAGACAGTTAAGTTTATCTTCTTCTATTATTTGAACTAAAAACAAAGTCATTTTATAGAATAACAGACTGAGTTTACAGGACTAGGGACTATCTAACAATAGCAGGGAGTTTCAAACAGCAGTTTCATACAGGATGGAGGTTACTATGCTTCAATTGTTTTTATCATAAGGGGTATTTGTTGGATTTTGTCAAATGCTTTTCCTACATCTATTGAGATGATTGTGTGGGTTTTTCCCTTGTTCTGCTGATGGCTGTGGTGCATTAAATCAATTGATTTCCTCAGGTGAACCACCTCGCGTGCCTGGGTTGAATCCCACTTGGTCCTGGTGTACAGTGTTTGGTTTGGTGGCTGCCATTGTGTTGAGGCTATTTACCGCTCTATTCCTAAAGGCAATGGTCCTGTAGCTTTCTTTTCTCTAGTTCTTTGTCTGGTGTTGGCACTGAGATAATACTGCCGTTTTTAAGTGGTTCCTTTGATGGGGCCATCTTTCTCCATTTCTTTGTATGCCTTAGCACCTTCAGCTGAGTTTAGAGCGTTTGAAAGGAACAGACGCCTCTCCCAGTCACTATACACTGTCTTCTTATGGGGAAGACCTCGTGCAGTCATCCAGGCTGGAGATCCCAGGAACCTCTCAACTCTTTCCTGGGGGTGTGTCTTCTCCAGGCTTGTGTGCGTCCTTTCCCAGAGGGTTGCTTTTCAGGAGCCTTGGTGTCTGGGGTTGGTGCTGCAGGATCTCTGGAGCTGAGGCAGCCATGGACTTGACTTTGTTCTCAGCTGCCCCTAACCCGGCATCCAAGTGAACAGCCCATCCCGTCAGCACTGTGAGTCAGATAGACAGAAACCAGTCCCTCTGACAGACCCCATGCAGGTGGTCTGCAGGTGAACGGTGACGCTGAGATGAGCTCGGCAAGCAGGATTGAGTTTAGAGAAGCAAAGGGCTACCGCTCGCTCAGGCGAGAAGCAAAGCCTCCAAGGCTCTCATGGCTTTTATTGGGGAGTACAGCAAATAACAATGGAGTACAGCAAGTGACAATGGTAAACAGGCATGCCTATGAGATCATCTGAGCTAAGTTATATATTAAACTATTAATTTCCTATGTTATGCAAAGACCCTTTCCACCTGCAGCAGTGTACCCTCCCTGGCTTTCCATGCCCTCATGGACTATTCATCACCAAGGAAATTCTGCCTCGGAACAATAAATCTTGCATGCAAGACTTTGTTCTGACGTGGCCCGCTTGCAGGCCCCCGCCTTTTCTTGGCAGAACGTCCTCTTCTAGTTAACTTCATTCCACTTGACCAGCTACACACCAACAAGCCAGAATGTTGGGCGCATATTCCCCTTTCTCTTTCCCACCCAAGGAAGAAGTTTTTCTCTCAATTGTGTTGCCTTGTGCCTGGGGAGAGGTAGGGCCAGGCAACATGCAATAAACTTTCCTACGCACTTCAGTGGCTGCTCTTCTTGGGTTTGTGGCGTGCTGAAGCTCTGCGTGGTTTCTGGAATTCTCTCAAAGGCAATTTGGTTCGTATACTGGTTTCTTATTCCACCATCTTGCTGACGTCACTCCAAGTTAGATTTTTAATAGGAATTTTTGCTGTCATCGGGAGACAAGTTTGTTTGTGGATTGAGTCCTGTGGTTGTGCTGGGTTTGCACTCTTCCTCCAACACCCTGCGTCTAAGGAGGTGACGCTCAGCAGTCAGTGATGACAGTGATGCAGTGAGCTCTCTCCCCACCCACCCCCTCTCTCTCCTTCCGCCGAGTGTGATTCCCTGGTAGTGGGACTGGAAGTGGACTCAGGGACCTGGGCCATCCCACCACCTGTTCATCAGCTCCTAGAAAGTCCAGCTGCTGTTCCCTGTGCACCCAAACCATGAACCGGGATAGTTCAGGTCTGGTCAAAATCGCTAAAATGAGCAAGGAGAAGAGTTACTGCACTGAGGCCGACAATGGATTTGTTTAGTTTTTTCTTAGTTTTTTCCTCCTTTGTTCTCCAGAGTCACTGCTAAGGGACCGTTGTGTGAACTTTCTTTGAAGCAAATGTTAGGCCTAGGGAGGAAGAAATGGGTTCTAAATATGCCAAAAAGAAATGGTTGGGGAAAAGTCATGTGTATCAAACTTCTTTAAAATCAGATAATCAAATTAGATCATGAGGAAGAGTGCCTACCAGAATTTACAGAGAAGGTTACGTTTAACTTGTGCAAGCCTCCAAGAGGGTGTGGCTGTGATTCTGTTAACTGATACCCAACACCGGCTTTGACGGATGTTTCTCAGGAGAGGGTTTACTAAAAACCATCTTGCCGTATTTTTCCTGTTATGGTCATTTCCTTTATTTCCTTTGTTCTTTTGTTTCTTCTTCCCTTTTCTTCCTTAGGCTGGATGCAAACAAACCAATGCGATACTTGGAAAACAAGGCAGCTTTAAATGAGGCGTTGGAACGGCTGAATTGGCCCATTTCACTGAAAGAGCTGTCGATGCTGGAGAATGAAATCCTAGCTGGGAAGATGTACATCCAGCAGGCCATGGAGCTGCAGGAGGCCGCCATGAAGGAGGACACTGTGAGCAAGGCACCTGCAGAGGTGGGTACCGTGGAGGTGTCTGTGTTGCCTCCCTCCCTCCCGGCAGTCACTGCCACCCCTGTGCTGGCCTGCCTTCTCTCTCCCACCTACCACACTGACGGCTGAAAGACTTAGCGCCAACCCGGTGAGGGTCCAAGGACTTCTTTCAATAGGAATTAAATGCTATTTGATTTTACTGTGGCCTTATTTTTAAAACAATACCTCTTTTAGCTGCAAAATAAAACTAAGTAGAAGTATAATGTCATGATTAAAAGCCTGGATTTGCAATAAGTCAGAGCAAGGTCCAAATTCAGATCTGCCACTGATCCCAGTATGATCTTGGCCAATTACTCTGTCACTCTAAATTTTAGTTTTTGTTTGTTTATTTGTTTAATATTTTGTTTTTATTGTTGACACTGTTACAGATGCCCCTGTGCCCACCTCTATCCAGACCCTGCCCTCCCCTCCCTCTGACCCTCACCGCATTGCTGCCTGTGCCCATGAGCTGTGCATATATGTTCTTTGGCTATTCTCTTCACTTTTTTTCGTCCCATCCATCCCACCATCCTCTGACGTCTGTCAGTCTGTTCCATGTATCCATGCCTCTGGTTCTATTTTGTTCATCAGTTTATTTTGTTCATTAGATTCCACAAAAAAGTGAGATCATGTGGTATTTGTCTTTCTCTGACTGGCTTGTTTCGCTTAATATAATAATCTCCAGGTCCATCCAGGCTGTTGCAAAAATAAGAGTTCCTTCTTTTTTATTGACACATAGTATTTCCATTGTGTAAATGTGCCACAGCTTTTTAATCCACTCATCTACCAATGCAACATGGGCTGTTTCCAGATCTTGGCTATTGTAAACAACGCTGCTATAAACATAGGGGTGCATATATTCTTTTTGCCTGGTGTTTCAGGATTCTTAAGATATATTCCCATTAGTGGGATTTCAGGGTCAGGTGGTAGTTCCATTTTTAATTTTTTGAGGAAACTCCACACTGTTTCCCACAGTGGCTACACCAGTCTGCATTCCCACCAGCAGTGCACAAGGGTTCCCTTTTCTCCACATCCTCACCAGCACTTTTTTGTTGATTATTTTTCTTTGTTTTTATTTTTTAATAAAAAAATATTTACTGTTGAAAGTGTTACATATACCCCCTTTCCGCCCATTGACCCCTTCTAACCCATCCCCATCCCAAGCCTTCACCACCCTATTGTCTGTGTCCATGGGTTATGCATATATGCATACAGGTTTTGGTTTATCTCTTCCCACACACCCAACCTCCCCCGCCTTCCCTCTGAGATTCCACAGTATGTTCTATGCTTCTATGTCTCTGTATCTATTTTGTTCATCAGTTTATTTTGTTCATTAGATTCCACATATGAGTGAGATTGTGTGATTCTTGTCTTCCTCTGACTGGCTTATTTTACTTAGCATGATACTCTCCAGGTCCCTCCATGCTGTCTCAAAGGGTAAGAGATCCTTCTTTTTTACTGCTGCATAGCATCCCATGGTATAAATGTACTACAACTTCTTTATCCACTCATCTACTGATGGGCACTTGGGCTGTTTCCATATCTTAGCTATTCTAAATTGCCCTGCTATGAATACAGGGGTGCATACATTCCTTCTGATTGGTGTTTCAGATTTCTTGGGATCATTGGGTCAAATAGCAGTTCCATATTTATTTTTTTGAACCTTCATACTGTTTTTCATAATGGCTGCACTAGTCTGCATTCCCACCAGCAGTGTACTAGGGTAGGGTTCCCTTTTCTTCACATCCTCACCAGCACTCATCATTTGTTGATTTGTTGATTCTAGCCATTCTGACAAGTGTGAGGTGATACCTCATGGTTATTTTAATCTGCATCTCTTTGATAATCAGAGACTGACATTTTCTTGACTCTTGGCCATCTGAATGTCCACTTCGGAGAATTGTCTATTTAGGCCCTTTGCCCATTTTTAAATTGTCTTCCTTGTTGTTGTATAAGATCCTTATATATTTTGGATGTTAACCCTTTATCAGATCTATCTTTGCCAAATATGTTCTCCCATACAGTGGGCTCCCTTTTCATTTTGTTGATGGTTTCTTTTGCTGAGCAGAAGCTTTTTATTTTGATGTAGTCCCATTTGTTTATTTTCTCCTTAGTTTCTCTTGCCCTAGGAGATATATCTGCAAACATATTGCAACAAGAGGTGTCTGAGATTTTGCTGCCAATGGTTTCTTCTAGGATTTCTATGGTTTCACGACTTACATTTAAGTCTTTTATCCATTTTGAGTTTAATCTTGTGTATGGTGTAAGTTGGTGGTCTAGTTTCATTTTTTTAATGTATCTGTCCAATTTTCCCAGCATCATTTATTGAAGAGATTGTCTTGACTCCATTGTATGTTCTTGCCTCCTTTGTCAAATATTAATTGAGCATAATGGTTTGGGTCACTTTCTGAGTCTCTGTTCTGTTTCATTGATCTATATGTCTGTTCTTGTGCCAGTACCAGGCTGTTTTGAGCACAGTGGCTTTGTAGTATAACTTGATATCTGGTATTGTGATCCCTCCAACTTTGTTCTTCTTCATCAAGATTACTGTGGCTATTCGGTATCTTTTTTGATTCTATATAAATGTTTGGAGTATTTGTTCTAGATCTGTGAAATATGCCATTGGTATTTTAATAGGGATTGCATTGAATCTATAGATTGCTTTGGATAGTATGGACACTTTAATGATGTTAATTCTACCAATCTATGAACACAGTATATTCTTTCATTTGTTTATATCTTCCACTATCTCTTCTTTCAACATCCTCTAGTTTTCCAAGAACAAGTCTTTTACCTCCTTGGTTAAATTTATTTCTAAGTATTTTAATTTTTTGTTGTTGTTGTTGCAATGGTAAATGGGATTGTTTGTTTAGTTTTTTTCAGAGAATTCACTATTGGTGTATAAAAATGCTATAGATTTTTGGGTGTTAATTTTCTATTCTGTTACATTTCCGAATTCATTTATTAAATCTAGTAGTTTTTTTTATGGAGTCTTTAAGGTTTTCTATGTACAGTATCATGTCATCTGCAAATAATGAGAGTTTTACTTCCTCCTTTCCAATTTGGATGTCTTTTATTTCTTCTTCTTGTCTGATCACTACAGTATAACCAGGACTTCCAGAAATATGTTGAACAAGAATGGTAAAAGAGGGCATCCCTGTCTTGTTCCTGTTCTTAGGGGAAATGGTTTTAGTTTTTGACCATTGAGTATGATGTTGGCTGTAGGTTTGTCATATCTGGCCTTTATCATGTTGCAGTATGATCCCTCTATTCTCACTTTGCTGAGTTTTTATCAAAAATGGGTCTTGGATTTTGTTGAATGCTTCTTCTGCATCTATTGATATGATCATGTGATTTTTGTCTTGTAATCTGTTTATGTGATGTATCACATTTATTGATTTGCAAATATTGTACCAGCCTTGCATCCTTGGAATAAATCCCACTTGGTCATGATGTATGATCTTTTTAATGTATTGCTGGATCCAATTTTCTAATATTTTGTTGAGGATTTTAGCATCTATGTTCATCAGGGATATTGGCCTGTAATTCTCTTTCTTTGTCGTGTCTTTATCTGGTTATGGAATTAGGGTAATGCTGGCCTCATAGAATGAATTTGGAAGTGTTCCTTCCTCTTGGATTTTTTGGAATAGTTTGAGGAGAATAAGGGTTAGTTCTTTGAATATTTGGTAAAACTCCCCTGTGAAACCGTCCAGACCAGGGCTTTAGTTTGCTGAGAGGTTGTTTGTTTTTTTTGTTGTTGTTTTTTTGTTTGTTTGTTTTTCTGCTTCAATTTCATCAATAGTTATTGGCCTATTCAGGTTTTCTGATTCTTCCTGATCGAGTTTTGGAAGGTTGGATTTTTCTAGGAATATGTCTATTTTGGCCAGGTTGTCCCGTTTGTTGGAATAAAGTCGTTCATAGTATTTTTTTTAAATAATCCTTTGTATTTCTGTGGTGTCAGTTATTACTTCACCTCTTTCATTTCTGATTTTGTTTCTTTGGGTCCTCTCTCTGTTTCTTGATGAACCTGGCTAGAGGTTCATCAATCTTGTTTATCCTTTCAAAGAATCAGCTCTTGGTTTTATTGACCTTTTGTATTTTTTGTCTCTATGTCATTTATTTCTGCTCTGAACTTTATCATTTCCTTCCTTTAGCTTACCATGGGCTTTTCTTGTTGTCCTCTTTCTAATTCTTTAGATTGTAGTAGTGTTAGATAACTTATTACCAGTTTTTCTTGTTTATTTTTTGTTTTGTTTTGTTTTTTGTTTTTGAGGTAGGCCTGTAGTGCTATGAACTTCCCTCTCAGGAATGCTTTCACTGTGTCCCATAGATTTTTGGATTGCTATTTGCTCATTTGCATTTGTTTCCAGAATGTTTTTTGTTTGTTTGTTTGTTGTTCTAATTCTCACTGGAGGATATTTTTCTATTGACTTTTAGAGAGAGTGGAAGAGAGAGGGAAAGACAGAGAGAAATATCAATGTGAGAGAACCACATTGATTGGTATCCTCTTGCACGTGCCCTGACCAGGGCCCAGGCTGGGGAGGATCCTGCAACCAAGGTACATGCCCTTGACCAGAATCAACCCTGGGACTCTCTGTTATGCAGACCAACGCTCTGTCCACTGAGCCAAACCAGATAGGGCCAGGATGTTTTATATTTCTTCTTTGATCTATTTGGTAACCCATTCATTATTTAATGGCATGTTATTTAGCCTCCATGTACTTGATTGTTTTTGAGTGTGTTTATTGTAGCTGATTTCTAATTTCATGCCATTGTGGTCTGAGAAGATGCTTGATATGATTTCAATCTTCTTGAACTTGTTAAGACTTATTTTGTGTCCTAACAAGTGGTCTATCTTTGTGAATGACCCATGTGCACTTGAGAAGAATGTATATTCTGCTGCTTTGGGTGATATGCTCTGAAGATTTCAATTAAATCCATCTGATCCAGTGTGTCATTTAAGGTTATTGTTGCCTCGTTGATTT